AACCAATTTGTTCAAATATTTCTGATACGTTTTCTGTATCAAACACTTCAAGGGCAGGCATGTCCTTGATTTCTTGTCCTGAAACATAGACAAATATAGTAATTCCAGAATGTTGGAATACATCGACAATGATTTTGGAAACTTCTTCCCAATTCATTTTATCTAAGCCACAAGCAATTTTGGGCATTGTGATAGATCGAATGTTATTTGCTATAGCATGATCTTTCATTTCAGACAAGGTGTTGAATATAGCGTCGTAAGTGGGTTTCTGAAAGTACCTCTGTTTGGTAATCAGGTTATATATGATTTGTCCAGATTTTGGATCAGTGAAGATGAGAATATCGTTAATGTTGGCATGTATTGAGTTACAAAAGTGTCGTAGCTCAGGATACCTTTTGCTAATTGATTCAGCAAATCCTTTTTTCATTGCTCTATCTGCAGAGATTGTATGGGCAATGGGCATATTCGATTCGAATATGGACCTTTTTTTGAAGTCTACATATTGTAGACAGGGGCCGGATAATTGAGTATTGCTTTCCTGTGTTGTATTGACAACAGTGTTCAGCATGAAACAGCTATCAAATTCTGAACTTTCGTTTAAAATTCTCGTTGTGAACTCATCACAATCGTGAATAGCAAATATTTTATCCTCGTATCCTTGAATATCAGTTACTGCATAGCCTAGTACACACTTGTTTAGTGTGACAGGATGATCTTTCTGATTCTCAATTAGGATAGGTAGGCTTTGCTCAATTTGGGTACAAACTGTATTAATGAAAACCAATTCGGTTTTAGTTGTATTTTTATGAGGCAGGAATGTAGTCCCTTTTTCGAAGTATAAATTTGGTTCAGCCAAGTGTTTGTATAAGTATGTAGAGCGTGCTGGAATGAACAAGGGTTCTTTCAAGTTAATTGAGACAATTTTTGAAACGTTAGGATATTCTTTATCGTTGTTCATCAACCCGTAGGATATCACACCTTCTTTTGATTTGAGCTCAACTGCTGGGATATCAAAGTAGAGAGCTTTTAAGAAGAGATGACAAAAGTCTACTCCTAATAGGTTAGCAGTCTTTTCTTCAGTTATCCACACTTTGTGGTTAGATGGATATTTTCCATCAGTGTCGAAACAAGATTGGATAGATGTATGGCCAAACATACGTATATCAGATCCATTATAAGTCTTTGCTTTAATTTTGGATCGGTAGATTGTCATTTTTTGACCTAATTTTTCCAATTCCTGATAAGTTGGGTAGTTTATGATACTACAAGTTGATCCTGGATCAATCATGAATTCAATTTCAAGTCCACTATTATTATTTTTGTCTCCGGTGGCAAAATGATATAAGCTAAGATATATCCTTGATTTAGGATTACTATCATCGCTCGGTTTCGGAGACTTTAATAGTTTAAAGGAAAGAAATCAGTGATCGCATCACAGTAATTGACTTCTTCCTCAACCCAGTGGGTAGTTTCAGACTGTATTTGATTCGATCTAAAATTTGGTGATTGAGATCGCGTTGAGTCTCGACTGTTATTGCTATTATAGCTTCCAGTGTTATATGGTCGACCTCTAGGATTACTATTGAATTGCCTATTTTCTTGGTCGTAGAACTGTTTAGCAACTTGTTCATTTTCTCTGAATTTGTTTTCTCTGGGATACCTATCATCATAGGTTTGGGGTCTTTTGTTATTGAAAGACGATTGTGCATTAGCCTTTTGGAAATTGTTTCCGTTGTAGTTATAATTATGGCGAATGCCATAGTTATTTTGGCTAGGATTTGAATTGTTAGTAGTTCTGTTTTGGTTATCCCAAAACCGGTTACTTGGGTTAGGGTTATTCTGGTTAGGGAAGTTATTCGGTCTTCGATTTCGTTTATAATCAGTTTCAAATGAAACTCTTCGTTCATTTTTTGTTGTGAGTTCTTTTCGCAACTTATTTACTTCGTCCTGAACTTGCTTTTTGGAACATCTAGATATAGAATGTCCATTCATTCTGCAATATTCGCAGAATCGTGTACTATTAGGTCTTCCCTTGATGTCAGGGTGACGTCGTTGAAATGAAGTCTGGTCATTGATTGCACTAACTTCTTGATTCTTGATCAGTTTAGTTAGTTCTTTAATTTGAGTTTCTAATGAAGTCATTTTATCCGTTGTTGACTTATTAGCAGGATCAGTAGCAACAATGAATGTTAGATCCTTAGTAATTACATGATTTGTGAATTGATCCCAATTGGCATTTGGATGCTCTATCATGTATTCATGAGCTTTTTGTTTAAGGGCTAGAGGTCTTAGTCCCTTAATTGAGAAATCAATATACTTTTGACTTCTTTGTCTGTTTTGTATAGTTCTCTCAGCATTTTGAGCAGCTTCAGTAGCATGAACGGCTTCATCAATACTTTCGGGCCATCCTCTATCTACAGAAGATTTAATTCTGTGGAAGTAATTTTTTATTAATTCGCCATCTTGGCGAGCTGCATTTTCAGCATCAATTCTATGTTTGAATTGATCTCGTCCGTCAGTGAATCTGTTTAGGAAGAGATCTTTGAGTTGTGCCCATGTGGTAGCATTGGTTACATTATCATTGAACCATTCAAGAGATGTATCAGTTAACAATGATCCGAATAGGGATCGTTGTCTGCTATCATAGCTGCGTCGTGCATCATTATCAGCAGGTCTTTGACCTAATGAGAAAAGAATTTTGTTTTCAACTGAATTCCAAAATGCTGTAGCATTTTGGTTCGGATCGTTTCCCGAAAATGTCATTAAAGACAAGTTGGGATGGGATATTGGGGTATCAGCCATTTTATATTTAGTTTAGAACTTGAAAAAGAAAGATAGAAAGGTTTATAAATTTGTTTAGAAAACTTAAATTTCCGATTTGGAAATTTATTACTTCTCTTTATTTGTAAGAGAAATTTCAACAATTCTCCAGTTTGAGAATTGGAATTTTTGCTTTTTATCTCTTTTTGAGACTTTAGCAATTTTTGCGAATTTTTAGAAGGTGAGCCTCACTGGTCGCACCAATTTATTACGCTAGCAATACTATTCACGTCGGACAAAACGCTTGCTAGGAATAAAGGGTCCTTTCTACTTTCTATCTTAGAAAGTAAATCTAAAATTCGCTGAGAAATATTTTATTAAAAAAGAAGTTAGTATGAATTTACAGCAAGTTGCCTTTTGACTCAATATTTATTTTTTACGATGAGATTGGAGATATTATTCTCTGAGATTGAATATTATTTTAGAGAAGGATTGGGGTGGTTGAGGAGAGTGGTGGTGGTGGTAGAAGAGAAGTTGTTGGAATGAATTCCCGTAGTTTTGAGCTTCTATTTATACTCAGATTGGGAAATCACGCCACTTTTCGTATCAAATGAGAAGTTTCTTTTAACTTCGTATTATTTATTCGTACATTCGTATTTTACGAGAAGAAGGTTTCGTATGCTCGTATTTTACGAGAGGAATCGTTAATATTCGTATTGAATGAGAATAGTCGTTTCAATTCTCAATGCGTAAAACGTTATACGAATTATTCCAATAGCATTTCCCTTCCTTTTGCAAGGGAATAAAAGCATATTTCTTTTGGTGGTGGCGGCGGCGTCACATTTTGTGAACGCAATAAAATAATTCATGTTTCTGTTTCTATTTGAAATCAGAACAGTGTGCTCTATTTTGAATGATCAGTTAAGACTACAGTTGATCTGTTTTTCAGTTAACCAGACGGCTGGGTTAAAATGGAGTTCAATTTATAGTTATTATTTTCTGGATCCCATTTTGCCTCGCTTATTCTGATTCAAGTATCCTAACTGGTGCGATGGTTGGAAACCCCGATTAGTGTTTTGTTAATTTGGTTGCGTTTCAGTTTGATCGGAGAGCCTTTTCCTCCCAGCTTGAAACTGCTTCCAAATTTCTACGGAAATAATGATTCTCTATTGATGCTGTCCTCTCGTAAAATCTTCAAAAGATACTGGAGCGATAAAAAAGAAGACGTCTTCGATAAACTGGTACCAGATTACGAAGAATCCAACATGCACCCATACCTCCATAAAAATCCTGACAGAGAAGCTCATAAGAAAGTTCAACAATTTCTTGGCGGAGACGTTCTCTTCGCCTTTAAGTAAGACAATTTGAATTTACTATCAAATCTACGTTCGGTAGTTACGACGAACGCCCTTAGAAAGTTGAACAATATACGGGAGTACAAGTTACTTGAAAATAAAAACAAATACTTGAAAAAATTCAGCTGCAGCTTAATCCTCCAAAGATTTCCAGGCTAAGCTTGAAAAATTTGGTTATCAAAGGTTCAGAAAATTTTTTAGCTTATTTATCTTGGTACAATGTTTAACTAGCGCTCTTAGTTTGAGTTTTTTAGAGGTTTTAATCATTAAAACGTGTGTTTCAGTTGTTCGTTTATATCAGAAGAGCTGAAGAAATCTTCTGCCATATGTCGCGATCTCGACATCAAAATAAATGAATATAAATACAAAGTCTACAGATCTATGAAAAATAAGCGGGAAGACTTATTCTTCAACCATTACCTTCAGAGACATTTAATGCTTTACGGTATCAATCTATTTTCTGCGGTTGCTGTTTTAAAACGGCTCAATGATTCATTCATGCGACAGGAGAGATTCAAAAACTCGACGCAACTAGCAGCTGAACGAGCATGGGGCTTCAAATGCATTGAGAATCTAATCAGCGATTGCAAAATTCTCGATTTTCAAGCCAATCGTTCTGACGTTGATTTCAAAAATACTCAACCTAACACGCAAGGAAAACGCACTGCCACTAAACGTGATCTACAATTTGTTCATGCTCTGTTTCATGACTTTGTGTAAAAATTGAAGTAATTTGAATCTATTATGTTAAATGTGAACAATTTATTGTATCAACTTGAATTTGGTGGAAACAAGCTGAAATTTTACAACAGTTGGAATGTTTTACATGTGTGCTCAGAAGCTTTCAAGTAGAAAAAATTGTTTTCGAAAGTTGAATGATTTAAGATGGCTGATTTTGGACCATCAGCGCTAGGCACCAAAGAACACTGGGACAATACTTACGAAGTGGAGCTAGAGAATTTCAAAAGTCACGAAGAAGAAGGGGAAATATGGTTCGGTGAAAAAGTACAGCGTGAAGTGGTCCAATATTTTATCAATAAAATAGAAAGCAAGTCGGTCTGTATCATGGATATTGGCTGTGGAAATGGAGTTTTGCTGAGGCAGTTGGCAAATAAAGGCGGATTTTCCAATCTTAAGGGTTTCGATTACAGCGAGAATGCAATACAATTGGCAAAAAATATTGCAAAAGCAGGAAACGAGCTGGAATCCAAGATTGATCTCTTTGTGGGTGATTTTTTGGATGGTTCTTTTGCTCATCGATGTGGCATCGCTTTAGATAAGGTTATTTCAACGTGTTTTTTTCCACTGTGATTTTGATATTTCTGAACTAGTATGGAAAGCTCATTTTCCAAAATTATTTTTGTTGTTTGGTCTGGGAAAAAATTACAATATTTTTCTTTACAAAAAAGATTACTCGTTCAGAAGTACACTACAAAGTGGACAAAATTAAGCCCAAATGCGGGTTCTTTCTCTCTAAATGTCTGTTTTGAAGGATGATTTCGGAAAACATTCATTTGGAATTTAAATAAAATTTTTGCATAGACCAAGAGAAACTGATCAGCACAGCCTCTTTGAATACAACAAAATTTGGTTTCAAAGACTTAACCAGTGTTTTCCGGGTCTGAAAAGGCCAGTTTTCACCATTAGCACTAAGTTTTCAAAATCGCGTGAAATTGTAAAAATGGAATGAAACAGCTGAGTTTAGTAAATTTGTCATACTGAACAAATCAAATTTATCGCTGAGAATGTTTCACATTGCATGAACAACTTTTTTTTCTGCTTGTTTCTAGAAAGAATTCACTACGATGCAAAACTTAGTGCAAGTGGAGAAAACTGGCATTTTCAGACCCAGATTACATTGGTAAGTGGTTTAAAGCAATTGTTGATAGTTTCACAGAGGGTAGCTCTGATCGTTTTCTCTCGGTCTATGTAAAAGTTTTACTGAAAATTGAAGGAAATGTTGTTTAAAATGGACATTGAAAAGAGGAATTTTAGAGGGTAAAAATCTAAATTTGCGCTTAATTTTCACTAGTGTCTGATTCTGCCATTTTCAGTGCATATGAGAAAAAAGGTAGTACTTCAAATGGATGATTAAAAAAGGAAAAATTTGTTGTCATTTCCGAATTAGATATTCACACTAGCGAGCGAGCTTGTGAGCGTTAGTGTATTAGTACAAACCTTCTTTTTTCTAACCTAACTCGCAAATAAAATTGAAAGTGTTCACACCTTTGAAAATTTCATTGTAGCATTGGAAATTGCATACCATCTGTTCTCTGCTTTTTTTGTGGCTAGTGTTAGTCATGAATTAAGCATTTGTGGCTGAGTGGTTAGTGCGTGAGAGTCATAATTTCTAGGTCGCAGTATCGAATCCGACGCATAGCCGAATTTTTTACTAATTGGAGGCTTATTTCTACATTTTCCTTTTGCATTTTATAGAACTGCTTTTTTCCATGTTCTCGCTAGTGTGCGAAGCACAGCTTCACCCCTGCCTACTTGGGTTTTTAAAAAAAATGGATTTGTCAAAAATATCAAAATTCACTGACAAGGAAAACCGGAAAAACGTTCTCAACGAAAAGCTTATTGTAGAATATGTTGCCCCAAATTGTCGTATTCAGCTCGATGCCGGTTTGGTAGTTTAAAATTGCTCTACGTTTGTTTGACTGATTTTTATCTTGGTACCATGAGCATTTTTTGTTTGGGACCATGATTTTAAACGAGGTTTATGCGGAATCATACTTATAAACGAGTACCCAGAGTTAATTTTCCTTGTTAGCTGTTCTTTTTTCTCTAGCAGCAAAAAATCCCTGATAAACTTTATAATTGATTATGTAGCTAACTTCCATTTCTTACTACTCAACCGATTTGAGCTCCAATTTAAAATTGTTCATGTATAAATTATAAGCTTGAAACGTTGTTGCGACCTCTGAAAGTTGCGATTATCTCTGCTTTGGGGTGATTTCAGTTTTTGTTTCCCAGAAAATTTTACGTATGCTAGTGAACAAAATTAACACAAGTTTACGGTTTTAATCTCAAAACTTATAAGTACAATTTTGGACAAGATTTACATCGAATTTTAATAATTTGTTTACACCGACCGACAGCAAATGATATGAACTACTCTCTCTGAAAGCCTCATTTTTTTGATTAGAAACACTTAACAGTTTATTTTGAGCCTGAAAATGCCAGTTTTCACTATTTCTTTCCAGCGATGTGACTTTATAAGAAACAATAGATGAAAGTTGTCATACTAAATAATTTAGTTTTCTGTTTCAAAATGAGTTAGCTGAGATCATTTGCTCACGAATGATAAAAAAGTGCTAATGTAATTCTAAATAAATGCTGTCCAAAATCTTCCTTAAAGTTATAATTTTTAGAGCGTAAAAACCTGACTTTGCGTTTAGCTTTGTCAACGAGTGTGCCATAAATAAACGGGGTCTAGCAGTATATCATTTCAAAGCTTATCCAATTGCTCTGCCGGTTTGAAAGCTCCACCGGTTTGAAAGTTTGATTTTTGGTCCCAGTTTTACTGCGAATAAAGCGAAAAGGAGTGTTAAAAGAATTATTTTTATAACAGAAGTACCAAATGCGCGAAAATGATTGCCAAATTATAGGTCTTTTAACTGTCCAAAACTTCAGTAACTGTGAATTTCTCGTTTATTTTCAGTTTTTGAGCTTTCATTGACTGACATATGTTTCTGGCATTCAGTCCTTCTAGCTTGGGGTCAACACTATTCCAGTACAAAATTTTTTAGTTACCTGTGAAAATTTTGTGAATAAAATTGGAAACTGTATTCAGCTGAAGCCATTTTCAGGTGTTATTTTTTGTCGGAAAGTTGATCGGCAAAATCTGTGCCGGCTGATTGAAATATCTATTTTAATTTTCCTTGAGTTAGGTTTTTATTTTAGGGAACATACGATGCAGTATCTCTGACGACTCTTCCGGACGCCTCAAAGCCTCTGGATTTCTACCGACAACAGTACAAAAACAGTCTGACTCAATGTATCAACTATGACGAAAATCTCCCATTTCAATTTTTGATAACCTCTTGCAATTGGACTGAAGAAGAACTCTGCATTTTTTTTGCTCCCCATTTCATCAAAGTGGATACAATAAAAAGAAAATCTTTTGTTTTTGGTGGCTCAACTGGACAAACATTTACCACTGTTGTTTTTAAACTAACTGGTGCTAAATAATAATATTTTATTAGTTTTTATTCGCATGCTAGCTGAAAACTTCATGTCACCTGTGAATTATTTGCTGACGATAGCAAATTTGTTCGACTAATTTCCGCACGTTTTTGAAGCGATTGTCTGCCAATGCCAAATGAGCAATCTGTTGTTATGTGTTAGATTTTTTTTAGGTTTTATGCCGAAGTTGCAATTCTAAAAACTTGAGTGCTAACTTTCTAATTGTTTCACGCTTGCTGGTTTTCAGACCCGTTGTTGTTTTAAACCAATCACCATGGATACTGATCTTGACTCGTACATCAAAGACAAAGGAATCAAGTACCCTGGACGTGGAGGCCGAGGGGGTCGAGGACGAGGCGGCAACCAAGGTCGAGGTGGCAACTTCGGAGGAAACAGAGGCAGTGGAAACTTCGGCGGCAGACAGTCTGGAGGTATGATTATGAAGAGAACGCAGCCCAGTTTAAGCGCAGGCAGCTCACTTCATATCTCGAACCTGGATTTCGGAGTGTCAAATCAGGACATTGGGGAGCTCTTCGGAGAGTTCGGAGATATCAGACGATTCGCAGTACATTTCGACCAGTCTGGAAGATCCATCGGAACAGCCGAGGTACATTATCTAAACCCAAGTAGTGCAATGCGAGCCATGAGAAAATACAACGGGGTTCCCTTAGACGGACGTCCAATGAGAATTGAGATCTCAGGAACAGTCGGACAGTCAATGGGCGGCGGTGGTTTTGCAAACAGAATGCCGAGCGGTGGGCGCGGAGGATTCCGGTCCGGAAATGACGGAAGAGGCTTCGGTGGTGGACGAGGTTCTGGTGGCGGTGGGTTCCGTGGAACTAGAGGTGCTGCTCGAGGCCGAGGAGGCAGCAGGCGTCCCCCTCCACCTTCAAAGGAAGATTTGGACGCTGAATTGGAAACGCTTACGAAAGCTACATAAGTTGGCACATGAACTGCTGCATAACTGGTGATGACATTTGTTTGCAATTGATGCGTGATTCAAAACTGCCCATTTTTTGTCTCCTAACGAAAGAGAACCAATCTTAAGTGTTTTTGTTCATATTGACTCATACGTTTTTAGCCGTTTGTTTCTACCGCAGACATGTTATTCACTGATTATTATTTATCATTATAACTTGTGATACATCTTGTGCATTATTTACCCGTCGATGTTCTATTCTGTTGGCATGCCAAAATAAACTATTGTCGAAATAGTTTTGATGAGGCATACATGGTAAATGGCAGATCGAAGACATATTTAAGTGTCAAGGTATTAGCATGAGAAAAGATGAAAGTACGCCCCAATACTTCCCGAAGTTCCATATTTAATCAGGTGATGCTTGACGATATATTTAGCCAGTTTTTTATATGGTAAGAAACCTGAGATTGAGAAAAAAATGTTTGTTGTCACAGTTCGTGGTCATGTTAACATGCCATTCACGAGCGTTCAAGAACTTTGGATTTGGGTTTCCCCTTTCATATCGCACCTTTTCACATGTCGCACATGACCTCCCTACAAATTTTCTGTGAAATAGTCAAAATGCGTTGGAAGTAATATATTCTGCGCCATTGTTTCTTGCGCTTCGTGAGGTGGTTCGAACAGTTTAATCCGATCATACTGTAAAATGGATCACCGCTTGTCTGCTTAGTTGTGTCGGCTTATTGTGTTAAGTTTTTTTTCTAATTTTGCAACAGCCTTTTGATGAAAATTTAGTTGGCAGTTCTGACTTTTCTGCATCAATTTAAAGAGTAAGCAGTTTTTGGCACATAGTCGACAATAATACTAAAACAATCTAGTTATATTAAATCTTTTTTGGTGTCATATTTTGGCCATTCAATCAACCCTCAATCAAGAGCTATTTGTTTTATTGAAAAATATCCATAGACAGCACAATGAGTTTGAACATAAGTCTTTCAGAAGCCAAGACTTGCAGTTAGAACTTCGGTTTTTTTGGCTTGAAAAAGAGCCTAAAAAGCCTAAGGAAAAAATCAAAAATTTTCTGACAGTTTCGAAGTCTACTTAATGCACTACTCAAATTTAAAACAGATTTCAATGTGTACTGATTTATTTCCAACATTCCTTCATATGATAAAAAAAACAAAGATATTTCTACTGCAAAACATTTTTGGCGATCCATTTTGTAACCAAGCAGCACTCGCTTAGCAGACTACGTGCTAGATATGAAATATCATTCCACGCAATTAGCATTAATTGGCGTAAAATTAGCATCATTATTTCGGTGCGCGCTAAGCACTACATGAAATTAAAAAATTTATTTTACTTGAAATGTTTATTGAGTTTGACTGTGTCAAGCAATCCATTCTTGGTAACATAATTTAACTATGTAAATATGATCACTTCTTTCGCAAGTAAATTGCATTTTTTAGTGCTTAGAACTGTGCAAACCTCGTATGACAAATAAACAGCATTTTTCAACCGTTTTCCTTTTTTATCAAAATGCTTGATAACTTAATGACCTGAAAATTTCCTTATGCTTGAATGCAGGGGCGTATCTAGGATTTTCTCGAGGGGGGGCGGATTTTCAAAAAAATTTCGAAAATTTGGACGACTTTTTTTTGAAAAAACAGGTAAAATTTTTTTGAAAAAAACAGGTAAAAAGCCGATTTTGGGCACTTTGTGGAAAATTTTGACAAAAAAAACTTTTGGCGCGCGCTCTCCCTCAAAAATAGCGTCCGCCTCCCTAAATCCACCCATGGTTGAATGCATTGGTAAGTGGTTAAAGAGATCAAAGTACCAGTCCTGTACACACCGAGGTGTTTGTATCTTCATGTTGATTTTCTACAGAGCTTGTATTATGTGCATTTTACCGTCTTGGACATTTTTAGGAGTTAGTTGTTTTTTTTTGCTTGTGTTTGCATAGTGCAGTGTTGCCTCTGAGTAAAAGTTTTAGTATGCTAAACGAATGGTTTGCTAAGTGAGATTACCCTGAAAAATAGTGGTTTGATATATTTCGTTGGAGAGTATCAGTCACTGACAAAGTAATTTATTCTTTTTGAATTATTGTTTTTCCTCTCATTGTTCTTTTTTAAAATCATCTGAAAGCAAAATTTTGTAAACCAATGCTGGCTGCTGCGATCGCGTCAATGTTCGCTCTTATAATGCTTTATCCTTTTTGCACCCGATCACAAAAAACTTAGCTATTGTTTGTTTCATGGTTTTTTACTCCAAGTTTCAAAGATATCGATGCGCAAAGATCCAAATCTGCTCATCGATATTGTTTGTTTCATGATGTGTTGCTCCCATTTTCAAAGATATCGATGCGCAGAGCTCCAAATCAAAAATATTTTTACCTGTGATCATTTGTTGTAAAGTTACGGGGATTTGAACTAGGGGTTACTTTAACTGCTTTTGTCGACGTTAGATAACAGCCGAAGTCTTCAAAACTTTGCCTTAATACGAGTAGTTTTGGTTCGTTCTCAATTTTGTCGCTTGTAAGTAAGAACACTTGGTTCATAATTGGAGCAGGATGATGAACTGGAAAAACTACTCAAAAATAAGAAAAGAGAATGATTTTCGGCTTAATCACAAAACCTAAAACAAAAAATATTGCAGGTTGATGCTGAAAAAATTGACTTAAATCATTGAAGCACGGTAGTTTTTAAGGAAGAATTTTTTTTTCAAATTTCAATGCTTTTTTTTTCATTCAATATTGTCGGAACCTACGTTTCTTCTTACTCAGCAACCGGCCACTTTCAAGACGCCAGCTATTATTAGGCATTCTCAAATAGGATTGTTGTTTTTTTTTGGGAAAAAACTTGTCTGAAAAAATCACTGAATCATTTAAACAACGAGACATTTTGAGCCGCTTTGGATTTCAAAGGTTAGTGTTTTAAAGTTTTTGAGCTTGTTTGAGTTTTAAAAGTTTTAAACTGCTACGGCGCTGATGTATATTATACGGCCAAAATACATAAAATTTGAAACTGTGTACGCGTTTCCTCAAATTGGTTTGACTTAGGAGAAAACGTGATGGTTGTAAAAAATGCTACAATTTAACCAGAAGCAGGGGCGGATTTAGGGGGGGGGGGGGCACTCCCTCTCTGTGGAATTCGACCCCTGGCGACCCAAAGGGTCTTCTCTTGCACTGTTTGGATATATCAGTTTTCGGTAGCGGATCCTAACAATTCATAAAAGCGTCTTAGGCGTCAGTATATAATAATTTAGAGGGGAGAGCGCGCGCCGAGAAAACGCGATTTTTTGCTAAACGTTATCCCCAAAAAGTGCCTAAAAACCCTGTTTTTTCAACGTTTTTCCTGCGGCGCAGAAATTTTGGCCAAAACAGGGTCTTTTTGGTGCTCTGGGGGAGCTCGGAAAATCATTTTGGTCGATCTAAAAACAGGTTGAAAAATTTTCGAAAATGTTTTGAAATTCCGCCCCACATAGAGAAAAACCTAGATCCGCCCAGACCAGAAGTTTTAGGGCTCAAGTCCATATCCAAAAACCGGGCCCGAGATTTTACGCTACAATTTTCTCCATTTTTTTCAAGCTATGAAAATTATCGCCCAAAATCCTGGTGTCAATCGTTATAGACGTTTAGCAAATTTAGAAAATAATTGGTCCTACAAAATTTCAGAAAAGAATGAATTCTAAAATGCAAAAACCATCAAAACTGTTTAAAATTGGTAGTGTTTTTCTTTAAAAAATTTATGTTTACCATCGAAAAAATATATCCATTTATTCAAAATTTAATAGGATATATAACTCATTTTGAAATATTATGAGATTCATTTTGAAATAATCTTTCTGATGATGGCCTGATAAATGTTGCGATAATTTAGGTTACATGAAACGATTAAAAATGGTCTATTTTTGGACATGAAAAAAACTCATGCGTGCTTCGACATATAGACGGTGTATTTGAACAGAAAAAAATTTTTTGTGACTCAATTGAAAAATTTTGGACCGATCTGTGCCAGTCGGTCATATGAAAGAAGTTTTGATTGCTTTTTTTTTTCAAAATTTCGAATTAGTACCATCATGTCGCGAAGTTTTTCGCGATACATGAAACAACAGAGGAGTCAGAGGTTAGAATAGCCGAACTGACAACTACAGAAAACTTGACAGAAAATCTGTCGAGAGGCAAATAGTTAGTCGCACTTTGCCCGATAATATCAAACTTGAGTAGAGCTGTCGTGTTCCTGATAGAGAGCGCAGAGAGTGGATATGTGAGTGCAACTCGTAAAGGAAGAAGAACCTGGATTGGGCAGGCCAACCACTGAAATAGCCTAATGGTTCAGAACTTACTAGAGCAACTCGAATTAAAACTGCTCGAACTATACTAGTCACACTTACATAAAACTTACACTTATATTACTTGATTGTGTCTGGGTCTAGTTCCAGAGTTGTTGTCTCAATGTGAGTACTGAATAAATTTACGAGCGCATTTTTTTGAGAGCGCTTTTTATATAGTCATGTTGAGGTGGGCGAGCTCTAGGTTGATCAATCTGAAATGTTACATCTGATAAATCCGATCATAGGTTGATCCATCTGATCAAATGTACGCTGTCCAAAAAAAATTAATGTTATTTACTTGAGGTTCAACCCTGTTGTTGACAGCGTTTGCGTATTTTAGGTATTTAGAGACCTAGCCATGGTGGCATGCTAATTTCTATCTAGCGTGAGGTGGGGGGGGGGGGGGGTTGTTTTGGTAGTGGTAACCATCCTGAAGTTCCATGTCATAAGCAAACCGTGAATTGATTCCGACTGGTTCAGGTACATAAGAACAAGAGATAAAGTCCCTGACCCTTGAGCCAATGTTTATAGGGCCTATTTTTCTTAACCTCATATGTGACGTGAGTGAACGACTGTTACAATCGCATTACAGTTTTTCTTCAAACTACATGTTCTGCAAGGAATATGAAACACCTTGCACCTAACCAGAAATGTGGTGTAAAATGATAGTTGAGTATAAAAGTTTCGAG